GAGGGGAAACTGCTAGGTAAAGAGCACTAGCAGTAAGTGGGGACCCCCAGCTGCTGGTTACCAAGGCAACCAGAGTGAACTAGTGGCCCACACCTGCCAGCAATCAGCTGACCAGAAGGGGCAGGGACTGGCTCACATATAAACCCTAGGGCTAAAGCCAGGATGGCAGTTCTATGCCAGCAGCCAAGGGGAAGGAGCTCTCCCAGAGCAACCAAAGGGGAGAGCCCTGACTGCAGGTACAGCCTCTGATACTGGTGTGGGACAGAGCACCCCTGGTGTGGCTTGAATGATGCTATAGCCAGGCAGCTTGAATTTATGTTATAGCCCAGGGGCTTGTGTTTTGTTTACTGTTTAAGACCGGTGGTTTGGATGAGGCTATTAGGGAAAGGATGAGGCCTCATAGGGTACCCACAGCAGTGTGGGGACCCCAGTGCCAGAGAGGGTGCAGCATTTGGGGTGCACTGACCCCAGTGCCAGAGAGGGCGCAGCATTTGGGGTGCACCGATCCCAGCACCAGAGAGGGTGGAGCACTTTGCAGAGCTGCGCAGAGCCCGAGCACCAGTGAAGGCGCAGTGCGAGACAGGGCTGTGGAGAGCCCGAGCGCCAGTGAAGGAGCAGTGTGAGACAGGGCTGTGGAGAGCCTGATTGCCAGTGAGGCGCAGTGTGAGACAGGGCTGTGGAGAGCCCAGGGAGGACCAGGGGGCCAAATTATAATAAGGCCCAGACCTAACAATGTCAGTTCCATCTGCAAGGCTTTGGCCATGGTAAAGGGGTGGTTGGAGCCATGCATATCCCGCAAGGCTAGGCTGCCCTGAAACATCCATTGCAGAATGGGACCAACAAGGGGTCAAGGAGCCCACGGAGTCAGAGTACAGCAAAACTGTGTCCAGGATGATGTAAAGGCAGCCTCCCTATTATATATTTACCAACAAAGACATGGTGGGAGAGAATTAAGTGTGCCCATTGGTCCAACTTGGCATGGTAAGTGGGGCCTTGGGGAGATCACAGTCATCCTGCAGGACCCTGTGCCATGACACTGTCCCAAATAGATTCAGCTGAATTGGCTTTGGAAGATTCGGTGCTGATTTGGAGAGATTCAGCAATTTGCCCATAGAGTGTAATGGGGAATCACTGAAATACTAATAAACTTGTGACTTTTTGACTGATTCAGATATAAATTGCACAAATGGTAGCCCCTTCTAGGGGCATGAATCTTGCCAAGTTTCAAGGAGATGGGTGAGGGGGTTTTGGGAAACTACACTTCAAACTGCTAACAAGCAAAACGTGTCACATGTGTATGTTAAGGGACAGCAGGGTGAAAACTGCAGGCATGCTAGCCTATGCTCAGGCCATGGTGCCTATAAGCTTTCAAGGAGATAGGTGGAGGGGGTTCTGGGAAACTTCACCTCAGGTAAAGCAAAACTTGTGACATGGGTGACACTGTGTGTGTGTGTGTGTGTGTGTGTGTGTGTGTGAAGGTGTGCCCCTCACTGGCTCTGGGGAATCTACCCAACATGGTAGTGTGCCTCAATGAGGTCTCCTCCTCCTCTACAGCCTCAGTCTGGTTCTTAGTCTGTTGCACCACTTTAAATGACAACAGGTAAGCACTGCAGCACAGTAGCACTAGCATCTCTGGCAGCCAAACTGTCACAAAGGCTTTACTTCCTTTCCTGCAGGAGCTTCTTTTCCAGCAGCTGTCAGAGAACTCTCCATGCCAGCCTCAGCCCTGGGGCTTAGATGTGCCCAGGGCCCTGCATCCTTCCAGTCAGCTGACTGGGGACAGGTGCTAGGGATGTTGGTCTAAGGACATGGCACTGGAAGACAAGGTCCTTTGGGTCAATCTGGTATCTCTTACTAGACCAATTGAATAGTTAAAGAAAGCTGGGACAGTGAGGGGCTGCGTTTTGGTTTTATAGAGAGGGGTTTTCCTTGATTGTACCATGGGGCTAAGTGGCTTATGGTTAATGAAATGAGAATTCTTATGAAAGAATTGAATGGTAGAAATAGAGAATTTTTGTGGATGTGTTATTTATGGTGTGTGATGGGTTGTGTTGTGTTTTTATGTTTATATGTTTATTATTAAAAAAACAAACAAACCTGAATAATTAGAGAAATACATCTTGGCAAGCTTTCAGTTTCAAAAATACTTTCTCAGGCTGAGGAAGCACCTGCAGTTGTTCTTTGTGTGTGCTGTTCCTGGATAGAAGGAAGTGGTTTGTAAATTTGAACAAGCAGCGAACTTTGCTAACCTAAACTCATCACCAGAACTGAAACCAATTTCCTATAGCTTAAAACACAAAACCTGCCTACAATCCCCGATACCCACCACAAACTGCACGCCAGAACCTATCAAAGACAACAATACCCAACTACCTGTGGGGGAACATTCCTCACAAAAAAACAAAAACAAAAACAAAACAAAACAAAAACCTCTCTTTCTCCAGTCTCTCTGTCCTGATTCTGAAAGGGAATTTACAAACCACTTTTCACAGCTTGGGCTATGGACTTCAATTCATCAGCCTCCTAGGTAGTAGGTACAGAAACTCATGGACTCAATATAGACAGTGGAATTCTTACACACTATAACCTGCTGGACAGCTGACTCCCTAGGTACCTCTGCACTTTTACCTGCACTGCTACATTCTTCTTCCCCAGCCTCTGACTGCTTTACTATTCCTTCCATCCAGGAACAGCACACACACCAACTGCAGGTGCTTCCTTAGACTGACAAAGGGTTTTTCAACCCAAAACTGGCATGCCAGGCAACTCAGCTGAGCTCAGTTGGAGCCTCACAACTCCACTACAACCAGCAAGCCTCAGGCCTGTCAAAGATGTAACAGGTCTTGGCTTTCCCCAGCCAGGACTGTATACATGCATGAGCTATTTGCTGAACCACTTGCCTCCACAGCCTCCTCTGAGGTGCCTTCCTTAGAAGGAAACCTGGCTCCAGGAGAACTTTGAGGCAGATTCCCCCTTGGTCCCCAGAATTCCTTCAGCTAGGATGCTCAGGTCCCCTGATTCCAGATACAGCTACTCCTCTGGTCATGGGAGGCTCATGCTGGGAGATGAAATTGGGGTGGAGGAGACTATTAGGCCTGTGTGAGTCAGTAGTGATCCAATCTGGCTTTGGATCTGGCCACTTCAGATGCCAATGTTCTAATCTGGAGCTCCAGACTGGGTTCCTGCTTTGATCTGGCCAAAGCGGCTCCGAAGCTTTGGAGCCGCCTCGGAGATCCGGCCATAGGGTATAATGGGGACTCAATGAAATATCTATAATTTTGTTTTATGTCTGATTTGGATGAAACATACAGAGCTGGTAGACCCTGCTGAGTGCATGAAGTATGCCAATTTTCAGGAAGGGGTTTTGGGGAAACTGTACCCAAAATTCTTGAAAGCAAAACTCATCTCATGTCTATGTGTTACAATGCAGGGGGATCAAAACTGCAGGAATGGTAGCTCCT